CATGGGCCTTCTAAAGGACCCATTAACACATTATATATAATACTTCATTCATGTATTATACATTATACATGTTCATGATTATGTTTTAACTTACAAAATATCATAACTTGACTCATTAATGAATTAATCATAATTAACCAGATTATTTACTACCAGTCTGGCATGATTTTAAATATTTTGTATGTTTTAGTTTTTTAATACTCAAGATAGTCTGTGTTCTTTCCTCAAAGAAACGGAGTCAAATAGTGGCAGTTGATTTTCCCAAGGGCATACTGTTTAAACGTGATGAATCATGACTATCAACCCAGATAATCTGTGTTCAGAGTCTACACAGTTAATTATTATAAAATGCTGTACCCATTCATCTTGGTATTGCATATATTGCACAGATAAAGCTATGGTGATTATATAATTTCCTATGAAATATTTCTAGTTAATACTTCAACAAGTTTTTTTTTATTCCTTCAATAGGATACCTTACAAAAATATTACAGTGTGTCTAGCATCTGAGCCTATGGTAATAATTACATGGCCTAAATTGGTAAAAATGTACAAAAGTATCATTCTGTGTTTTTTTTAACTTTATGATTAGGTCTTTTAAAATAATGTTCTCCATGGATTATTTTAGCAGGACTCAATTGGAGAGGCTCAATAGAATTACCTATCCTACCTGGATGACAATTTGTGGTGGAGGTGGATGGTAGAGAGAATTAGGAAGAGCTATACCAAACTATACCAAACCCACAGGCGAGTTTGTCATAACTTAGGACCCTAATGCTTTTTGTTACACTTGTACCAAACACTATAAGTGAGGGTGTTAATAGATAATTTAAGAAACCAGGTTTATGTTTCCTAAATGATGAATCCATCAATTCTGTGAGTGATGCTGCATCAAAAACAGGTTTAAGAGGCCTCAGGTGTGAAACAAAACTGCGTTTTGTGTCAAGTCTTTGGTTTGTAAGTTTATGAATCAAAAAATGAATCATTTTCAAGGGAATTTCACTAATATGATAACCCCCCATTGGGATAACAGTAGTTAGTACTATAACAACTATAAGATCTAAATATAATCATGTATTAAATGTACGACTTGCTTTAACAAAACTTAAAATTTGAAGAGAAATGTTGAGACAGTATTCATATATGTGTTCTGATGCTACAGTGAATATTGTGTAAAGGGTAAATATAGCTTGATAAATTTTAAAAAATGTTTTACACATAATATTGTTTTTCTAGTTTTCAGGGATATTTTTTCTCTCCAAGGAGCATCAAAATGATGCATCTCTTTGGCAGGAGTGAATGCAGTTTTTTATAACCAACATAACAGTCCCGATTTTTAAAAACAAAAGTTTTAAATAAATATCTATTGAAGTCCTTTATCTGTCATTTAATTTGGTTATTTGGGGGTTGTTTGGTTTTCTTTTGCTTTTTGTCAGATAGATGGTTTGAAAAGAATTTCTCCTATTCTGTAGGTTGCTTTTCAATTCTGTGGATTATTTCCATTGCTGTGCAGAAGCTTTTTTAGTTTCATGTAGTCCCAGTTGTCTTTTTTTGCTTTTGTTACCTATCCTTTTATTGTTATATCTAAAAATCATTGCTAAGGCAAATGTTAAGAAGCTTTTCCCTATTTTTTCTTCCAAGAGTTTTACAGTTTCAGGTCTTAAAATTAACTCTTCCATCCATTTTGAATTGATTTTTGTGTGTGGTGTAAGATATGGATCCAATTTCATTCTTTTGTATGTGGATATCCAGTTTCCCCAAGCCCATTAGTTGAAGAAACTATTTCTTCCCCATTGTTTACTCTTGGCACTTTTGTTGAAGGTCATTTGACCATATATGCATGGGTTTATTTCTGGGCTCTGTAAACTGTTTTATTGGTCTATGTGTCTGTCCTAATTCCAGTACCATACTGTTTTGATTACTACAGCTTTGTAATATATGACTTTGCTTGGGGAAATAGGCACACAATGCTGTGTGCAGATGATATTTTATTGAGTTGTACACTTGAAACCTGTATACAACTGGTTTTGCAAACCAATGTTATCCCAATAAATTAAATAATAATAATAAAATAAAAATAATCCAAAATGAAAAAACTGGGAAGTGACGTGATTTTATTCTTGTTTCTCAATACTGGTTTGCTGTTTATGGTGTTTTGTGGTTTCATATAAATTTTAGGATTTTTTCTAGTTTTATAAAAATGCCACTGGGTTTTTGATGGAGCTAGCATTGAATCTCAGTACTATAGATGGTGTACAAATGACCAACAGGTATATGAAAAGATGCGTAACATCACTAATCATCAGGGAAATGTGGACCCCATTCACAATGAGGTATCACTTCACAACTGTTAGAATGGCTATTATTTTTTTTTAAGATAAGAAGTGCTGATGTGGATGTGGAGAAATTGGATCTTTTGTGCACTGTTGGTGGGAATGTAAAATAGTACAGCTACTATAGTAAACAACATGGAAATGTCTCAAAATAATGAAAAAAATAAAGCTATGACATGATGCACCAATACCACTTTTGGGTATCTATCCTAAAGAATTTAAATCAGGACCTCAAAGCAATATCTGTACTCCCATGTTCATTTAAGCATTGTTTATAATAGCCCAGACATGAAAATATCCTAAATGCCCATCATGAGATTAATAGTTAAAGAAAATGTGGTTTGAAAAAATAAAATAAAAATGTGGTAGATAATATATTTTTCAACCATTAAAACATAAGAAAATCCTGTCATTTGTGACACATGGATGAATCTGGCAGACATCATGCTAAGTGAAATAAACAAGTCATAGAAGATAAATACTGAATGATTGTGTTTCTATAAAGAATCTAAAATAGTGAGCATCATAGAAATGGAGAGTAAAATGCGATTGCCAGGCGGTGGGGTAGGGAAAGGAAGAATGTTGCTGTTCAATGGGTATCAAGTTTCAGGTTTATGTTCTAGAGATCTGTACAGCATGGTGCCTATAGCTAACAGTTAGTACTATATACTAAAAAGTTATTGAAAATAGATTTCATGTTAAGTAGTCTTACCATAAAAAGAAAAACAAAGCAAAACAAACAGGCAGGATGAAACTTTTTTTTTTTCATTGACTGGATTTTATTCTTTAAAGGTAAGGGTCACAAAGCCAAAGACTTCAGCAGCCCCCCTTTTTGCTTGCCCTTCTAAAAGTCATTGGGTTGTCAGTAAGGACCAAAGTTCAGCAGTCATGGTTCCGTGATGGTGTGCGATCCACAACAGGTGTCAGAGGCTGGGCAGGACGGCTCACATGGATGACGTCAGCCGCAACTCTTTCTGGTATACATCTGGGATCTTGCCCACGGGGGAGTCAATCATCCGGACGGTGTTTTTGGCGAAGAGTTTGAATTCGTATTGAATTAGCTGCTCCCAAAAGCCCATGTTTGGGCGTATGATGGGACGGCAGGCTTTGGTCCAAGTGTGAGCTTCTAGGAGTGACAGGGAACGATATTTCATCAAGAAGGCTATGCACACCGTGGCGGAGCGGCTGATGCCAGCGTGGCAGTGCACCAGTGTGCGGCCTTGGCGCAGCTCTACGCTGTGGATATAATCGGCGATAATATCGAAGAAATCGCCTATGCGCGTGCTGGGGGAGTCAGTCACAGGTACCTTCAGGTATAGAATGTCCTCAATAAACGTGCTGAAAATTTCCGCTGACATACTGATGACTGCTGTGATGCGATTGGAAGACAATAGGTGCCTGTTGTTAGCGGCCTTGGCATTACCTATGTAGAGGGTGCTGGTCAGCTGGGAGAGCCCACGGGACCTCAAGGGCTGTGGGAGGGCCTTGGCCAGCAAGAGACGTCGTGGTGGTGGTGGTGGTGGTCGTGGTGGTCGTGGTGGTCGTGGTGGTGGTGGTGGTGATGGTGGTGGTGTTGACATCGAGGCAGAGGGCTAAGTGTCTCTGGGCCGGTTTCGGGGCACCACTCCCACTGCAGTGCTGGGAAGCCTCTGGCGGGTGGGCAGGTTACTGGTTATCACCCCTCTGGCCCCCAAGCATCACAATTCCCTCCCTGCCTACGCCACTGGTTTCCATGGCAATGGCAGTTAGCCATGTGAAGGGCGTGGCCTCCTAGCCAGGCCTTCAGATAAACCACTCCCTGCTCCAGAGCATCACAGTCCCCTACCACCAGCCCAGTGGTTTCCACGGCAACGCAGTTTGCCACAGGAAGGACTTGACCTCCCATCCAGGTCTTCAGAGAAACCCCAGTTATATTCTTTTTTTTTTCTTTTTCAGATCTATTATCTTTTAAAAAATCTTTATTGTTTAAAGTAATAGCTAAGATTTAGAAATAGCCTAAATGCCCATCAGTAGACAAATGGATAAAAAAGCTGTGGTACATTTACACCATGAAATACTATGCAGCAGTATTAAAGAAGGATCTCCTACCCTTTGAGACAGTATGGAGGGACCTGGAGAATATTATGCTAAGCTAAATAAGCCAGTCAGAGAAAGATAAATATCACATGACCTCACTCCTTTGTGTAATCTAATGAACACCATAAACTGATAAACAGAAATAGATCCAGAGACAGAGAAGCATCGGACAGACTGTCAAACTTCAGAGGGAAGGTGGGGGAAGGTAGAGAGGGTGGTAAGAGATCAACCAAAGGACTTGTATGCATGCATATAAACGTAACTAATGGATACAGACATTAGGAGGGGTGAGGGCATGTGATGGGGGCGGGAATGGCCGGAGAGAGGTCAATGGGGGAAAAAGGAGACATGTAATATTTTAAACAGGATGAAACTTTTAAAGGTGATGGATAGGTTACCTAGATGAGGGACTGGCTACATTGTAAACCATGGCGTGAGTACCAGCAGAATCTGCAGTTGATGCTTTGGCTGTTGCCAGTGGAGCCCTGTGACTTGACAGAAGGTTTTGATCCCATTATATTCCCAAGGATTGGTCAGGAATACTTGAGGCAGATCCACATCAAAGCCACTCAATGTCCATATGTTGTGGTAGCTGAAATTGACCCAAAGAAAGTTGAGAAGAAACCAAAGGGTGAATATTTCTCTTTCAGGATGGCAACCTGCTCCTGAAGGCTATTAGGCCATACTTCAGTGGCCACAGCAACAAGTGGCACAATTTTCAACTGTTAAACAGAGTGTGAACAGACATAGAAGTCACTGGAAATGACAACAGTTGGATAGTAATGTGACCATGCCAAAATGTGAACATGAATAAAGCTAGAAAAATTTTTATCTGGGTGAAAGGTTATATTCTGGAGGGACTGTTGGACCAGCTAAAATGAAAGTCCTAGAATAGATCATGTGCAAATTGGTTTTCCTCACTTGCTTAGTATCAATCAGTCAACAGTAACCAATGTATTGGAATATCTGAGTAATTGGTTTGGAGGAAAAGAGATTACTCCAGAATTGAGAAGATGTTTATGCTTTATTGACTTTTCTTGAAAAGCCTTTATTACCTGATGCTCATTCACTGATTTGGCAGCTTGCAAGAAGATACTCTGAAGTGAGGCTCTTAGTGAACAGCAAAGATGATGAGAGGATTCCTGCTTTGAATTTATTAATCTGCTTGGTTGGCAGGCATTTTGACCAATGTAATTTAGCTGATGAGCCATCTTCATATAGCTGATCTCTCAGGAATAGAATATACTTGTGGTAAAGGCTGCCTGTCTGATGAAGTACAATGCCAATTAAGCTGCAGATTGCATCATATTTTCAAAATTATGTAAGGGGTCTTCAACTTAATTTGTGCAACTGAAGTTGATATGCAGAATGTAGAGTGTATGGATTTGAACATATGAAGTATCTTTGGGTAATCTCACTAATTTATAATTAACAGTTTTCTATTACCCTGTGCAAAATGGTATGATGAAATTTTACAAATATTCTTAGTGGGGCTTCATTGTTTATTTACAAAAATATACATAAAACTTTATTGAAAGTGTATTTTGGTTACTAAAATCTTGTTTGATTCTCAAACAAAACAAAAGACAATAGAGAGAGGTTCTTAAATTTAAAAAAAAACAACTAGATTAAGTGTGTTCTTAGCAAAAAAATTAATCAAGCATTTTCCATTTAAGTTCAATACTTTTATTTAAATGCTTTAATGCACAAAACTTTTGTTAACAAATTATTTTAAGTACCCTAATAGGTTGACTGATTTAATTTTTCTTTCAAATCTTCTGTTCATATATAATTGATGTATCAGGTAGAAATGTTTTCTACTTTAAGTAGCAGAAGATCCTAGTAGCGATGGTTTTTCAAATAGGGGTTTATTTTTCTGGCATAACAAGAAGTGTGGAGGATCTGGCTACTGGCATTGGTTCAATAACTCCATGATACCAAGGTCTCTGATTCTTTTGGCCTTTCCCCCATGGTAGCAAGATGACCACTGCAGTTCAAGGATATGTGTCTATTTTCAAAACTGGAAAAGGGGAGAAGGAGGCAGAGCCTTTAACATCTGATTCCTTCTCATACAAGCAACACTTTCTCCAGAAATCCACAGCAGATTTGTGTTCATCTGTTGGCCACAAGTATATAAGATGATCACCTATAGTTCCAAAAAAATTCAAGAAATGAAATTAGAAGCCTTTTCAGGTTTCTAATAGAGGTGGAAAAAGAAAAAGGGGATTGGGAATATCTATGGATCAGGGAACCAATAATTCTGCCACTAGTTACAAATAAAGCAGACATAATTTTAAAAAGTAAAGGTGATGGATATGTTTATTAACTTGATTGTTGTGATGGTTTCATGTATGTACTTATCTTCAAGCTCATCAAATTGTATGCATTAGTTATGTCCAGGTTTTTTTTGTGTGTGTTTATCAATTATATCTCAATAAAGCTCTCAAAAATAAAATAAATAATTGCTTAAATTATATTTTTTTATCAATTAACTAGAGGCCCGGTGCACAAAATTCATGCGTGGGGGTGGGGAGGTCCTTTCAGCCCAGCCTGCACCCTCTCCAATCCTGGACCCCTAGGGGGATCAGGCCTAAACCAGCAGTTGGACATCCCTCTCACAATCCTGGACCACTGGCTCCTAACTGCTCACCTGCCTGCCTGCCTGATCACCCTTAACTGGCCCCCCTGCCAGCCTGATTACCACTCCCTGCCCCTGCCCATGGCCTGGTTGCCCCTAACTGCTCCCACTGCTGGCCTTGTCACCCCTAACCACCTCTGCCTACTGGCCTGGTTGTCCCTCACTGCCCCCCCTGCTGGCCTGGTAGCCCTTAACTCACCCCATGCCAGGCCCAGTTGCCCCCAACTTCCCTCCCCTACCAGCCTGGTTGCTCCCAACTGCCCTCCCCTGCAGGCCTGGTCAGCCCCAACTGCCCTCTCCTGCCAGCCCAGTTGCCCCCAATTGCCCTCCACTGATGGCCCAGTTGCCCCAACTGCCCTCTCCTGCAGGTCTGGTCACCCCCAACTGCCCTCTCCTGTCGGCCATCTTGTGGTGGCCATCTTTTGTCTGCATGGGGGTGGCCATCTTGCATGAGGGTGTAATCGTCAATTTGCATATTGCTTCTTTATTATATAGGATAATGTATATTTCACTCTAAAATGATGTATATAAAAGAAAATATGTTTTGGGGGTTGCATATTTGTGATTTTTGACTTCTTATTCTCCTTTACATATAAAGAAAGCACACTATTTGAAAAATAAAATACTAAGAATTTCTGTAATGGTAAATTATTAATTACATCTGTATATTTAATCATATTGACTTAATTAGGCAAATTAAGTCAACGCTTTGTTATAGCAGTATCTCAGAATGAGTCCACATGTTCCACTAAGTTTTGGAATATATTTTTTGATGAATACAAACTGCTTAAGCTGTGAAAATGTTTAAATATTCACATAATTGAATTACTAGCTTCAGAGTTAAAACATTATTGCTTTGGAGATAATTACTTTTAATAACTTGCTATAAAGACTGAATTTTTCAACAGTCTTGTGCTCTTCTGGTGTGTATTAATTATATCTTGGAAAAGAAAAAAGTACATACTATACTAAACAATTTCTAAGTAAATTTTTATCTGTCTTAATTAGCAACCAGACTTCAAGTTAGTTTTTAAGTTCTATATTGGCTGTAGAAATTTGAAGTCATGAGTCTGCCAAAGATTATCAAAATCATCAAGTGACTTTAGAAAGACAGTAGGTTGCCAATTTGTTAAAGAGCATGAGAATTTGTTAGAATTGGATTGGATTTAGAGAATTTATATATCGGGAGCTACATTTTCCCACTAATACCATAAAAACTGAGAATGATATATTTAGGTTGGCGGGGTTTCTGCCACTGGGTGCTTCTGTAATTATATATTTCAGAGTGGAAGGGAGAGATAGAAACATCAATGATGAGAGATAAACATTGATTGGCTGCCTCCTGCACACCCCACACTGGGGATCGAGTTTGCAATGTGGGCATGTGCCCTGACTGGGAATCAAACCATGACCTTCTGGTTCATAGGTTGATGCTCAAGCACTGAGCCAGGCAACCAGATGCCTCTTAATGTCTGTCCCAGTTATGATAGTTATAGCATTGAGTTATAAGCTGTATCCTTAATTTGGGGTAATTCATTTATTTATGTAAAGATAACTATTTTAACAATTTTTTCTTAACTTATGAGCAGTACATTAGAGTGAATTTCAGAACTACTTTATCTGGTAAAGCATTCCTTTCAAGATAACTCACTTCTTTTATAAAATTTGAGTGTATTCTAAATGTCTTGGATAGAAATGGAATGCTTAACTATAAATTTCCCCTTTTCTGTAAAAAGTCTACTTGGGAGAAAAAGAATAGAATTAGTCTAGTACTGCTCATAGATTCAATCTGGCTCTTGAATATGGTTATAGTGGGAATGCATAAAAGGAGAAAGCATGTTAGCTGAGTCCCCAGACATCCCACTT